GTGAAGTTAATCAGACACTGATATATAAAGCTGAGAGTAAAAGAAGCCATATAATCTTAAAGGATGGGGCTGTCATCATCTAAAACGAGGAGGCTGAGTTTGGGTGAGACAGGAACAGAGATCAGATGACCTGTTTTGGAGATAATAATTGAAAAGTCCATTAATCCACCTTCCACCAAATTGTCAATACAGCTGAATTATCTAAGTCTAATGTTTAGAAAACAGGTTTGAACTAGAAATATTGCAGTTACAAGTTGTCAACATATATATCACCATCTGAGAGAAAATTCCAAAGCTCTCAAAACTCAGTGGTGAGGAAGAAAAGGGTCATCTAGAACCAGAAACAGAAATGACTGTTAAAGTGGCAGAATAACACACAACTAACAGTGCTGTAACCTGGGTCCCAATAAACAAAGCCTACGAAGAAAGAAGTGACTGCTTGTTTCAAATGTGGGTTATTCTTGGGAATGTTTACAGAGGTGTCTCAGAGACGGAACCCACGTCTCAACAGAAGATTCTTTACTGCTTCGCATGTGCCTCACAGTCTGAGGTATCTGGAAAGTAACCTGTGGGAACCCACAGAATTGACTCCATCAGAGAATTTAAACCTACTCTTGCTCTTTATAGGTTAAACGGCGGATGTCTGGCCTAAGGTGTGGCTACTGGAGGATGTCTGGCTTAAGGTGTGGTCATTGAATGTCTTACCTAAACAACCGATCGCTTAGTTCAGGGTATGGTTACTTGCTGTTTCCAGTAATGAAGAGTAGTTACGTCTATTTGTCCTTGTATCATTGATAAGGAAGTCTTTTGCCCTCTCCCTTTTCAATTGCAGTATATAAGAACTATGAGCAATAAACTTGGGGTGCATCACAGTTTTCACTGGATGCCAGTCTGTTTCTTTGCTCAACCCACACTCCCCTTTTCAGGTATGAACTGGGCTAGTCGGCTGGGTCAGACAGTAACCCACACTGTGTAAGCGTTTATTGGCAGCAGCATACAAGTTCTCAATAGTCTGACCCAGAAGAACATGGTTTTCAGAAATTCTGACTAGTGTTGCTCAAACTGTATCAAATATTTGTGACTTAATTTTTTAACCAGTTCAGGGAACCCTATCATCCTTTGTAAATGTGAAAGAGCTACACAGACAGTTTACTAAATCCAGACATCTTGGGGAGTGTGTGTGTGTGTGTGTGTGTGTGTGTGTGTGTGTGTGTGTGTGTTCTTGAAGTCTAAGGAATTTCAAGCTAGTGAAAAAAAATGGAGTGTAAAACCAACTGAGCTAAGAGAACACCAAACTTTAGCATATGAATAACAGGATTTACATGGGAAAACAAATTATTTACTGTATTTGCCATACATAGTTATTCATCAAAAGACATGATAAATATATGTACACAAATGAATGGCTTAAAGAGCAAATGAAAAATAAAAACTATAAACTAGTCTACTTAAGGATAGAGAATATACACCATCTTGATTCAGTAAAGTGAACATGTAAACTGCTTGCCTAAACTGACCTAAGTTGTGTAAAATCAACCTCTCTGTATAAGCAAAATATACCACAGCTGAGACAAATGTAGCCTTAGAGAAAAGCCGACATAACAAGTTATTTGCCTTAATATTTAAAAACACAAATAATGAAAAAGTAGCAAATTATTCCAATAAAGGAGAACTAAAGAATGCAAAGATTTTTAACAAAAATTAAATGTTAGTTAACAACACATCATTTCACAGCCTCAGAGTGGCAAAATTTAAACCCAACCACTTTTAGTGCTTGTATTTCTGGGAATATAGATTACTGTAACCTCTGGGAGTAAAAGCTACCAAGTAACCCAGACATCCCCCCCAGTAAAAAAAAAAAAAATGACATTAAAGGGTAAAAAGAGACACATAAAGATGCTTCCAACACTGTTTATAACAACAAGAAAAGAGCCTTAAAAGTGGGGGAGGTTGTGGAGACACAAGACTATCTACTACTGACGCAGTAATTTAGGATACATGCATAATTTGGAATATTATATAGCCATTAGAATGTGTCAGATTTAGATGTACTGGCATGGAAAGACGTTTATAATATTAAGTAAAAAATAAGCTATAGGATAAAATATAACAATAAGGTGTAGGAATATCTGCTTTAAGGAAAAAATAACCTAAAAGTAGAAACCTGTAATATTGAGAGCTTTAGGAATTTCTATTTAGATAATTTCCAACAGGATATTGTTGACTTTAACCAAGTCACATTACAGTCGTTAACAGACATTACAATCCTTTGGAATCTTCTGTAACAACAAAAATAAAACAATAAAAACTACTTTTAAGAGCAAAATGTTCATTAGCTTTCTTGTGCCAAAGTAAAAATGCTTTTTAATGTTGCAGTTTTACAATTACAGCAAACAACCAAAGATTTTCTTCTCCAATAGCAGAAACAAGCTATTTCAGTCCATTTCATTGAGTAACATAATTATGTTCATTACATGGATATAAACAAGGGGCAAGACATTAAACCAATTCCTTTGTGTCAGAAATTGAGTTTTCTCAGCAATACATGCATTGATAATACAATTTATAAATGCTATTCAAACAGCTCAATTGTAATATAATGCAGAAGAGTCTGAAATTGCCTGGTGTAATTACAGGAGTCCTCAATTAGGAATCAAACATACCTGAGTTCCAATTCTGACTCTGCCACTTACAAGGGATACAGTCTTGGGCAAATTATAGTATCTTAGGATTATTGTATATCTGAAAAATTGATCTCCCTGGTGTTCTTGGAAGACCAAGAATATCACAGATGAAAGTTATCCAGTGACAGCCTGGCCCTTTAGTCTTTCTTTCCTAAGGAGTCAGAATAATGGGCACAGGCTCTTTGAGTACTGCCTTTTAAACAAGGTTTGTCTTTTAAAGGGTGGAAGGGGAGGAGGAGGGAGACAAGGTGGAGTGCATCTACAGTAACTCTTCAAGGCTGAGGAGTGAAGAGCATGGAAGACCAGGAGCTCAGGTCAAGCCGGGGCAACTCACAGACACCTGTGTCTTTTAAAACTAAAACTATTTAGAAAAACATCTAATCGGAACATTACTGAGCTGACAAAAAGGTACACATTTTCTCTGCCATGTCTGCATCTCCAGATACTCAGGTGTTTTTACATTTGAGAGCTGTCCTTTTCTCTTTTAAAGACAGTAGTGCTATGTAGCAGCACACCCTGGTCTTGAACCTACCATCCTCTGTCATCAGGTTTTAGAGTGCTGGAATTATGGGCCTGACCCCATGGTCAGCCCTGGATTATTTCTCAGAATTACTTATTCTGGTATATATTTGCTGTTTCCCATAGGGCTATTCATTTTGATGCACACTTATTATTCCCAGCAGAGGATTTTTTTCTCAAATGCAAATCATGAAGTACATTCATTATTCTACATCCTCAGGTAAGTTTGTTTTTAAAATCATTCAGGTAGTGTACAGAAACACCTTCCAAGCACTGCAGAAAAAAAAAAATGTTAGGCAAGGAGGAAAGTCTGCAGTGTTTCTTAGAAATTGTATCTAGATAATTCCAAATAACAATACAAAAAGAATAAATACAAACTCTGATCTTAACTAATTTTCTTAACTTATTGCAAGATGAGTCACTTTCTTCCTGTAAAATTGAATCACGAGTGAACCCAGACTATGACTGTAAATGCTGTGGATTAAACAGAGCTGCATGAAAAGCAAAGGTTTAGCCTTCAATATTTAAAGTGAATAATTTTTAGCGCATAAAACCTTTCAAATTACTGTAAATAAATTCAATAGTTCTTCACATTTCACTCTAGAAGCTTTGACTCCTCTTTCAAACTTAGCTGTCTATCAAATCAAATGTATTTAACGTTCTTTGATAACACTATTCTTTATATTCAAGGCTTTTGTAAAATCTACCAAAACTCAGAAATAGCGATTATATAGAAAATTTAAAGTATTTTTCTGGTGCTTTTCTTAAAAATTAATTCACACGCCCAGTTACAACTAGTTGTTCCTCGGGGTAACTTTATATAGTATTTAATAAGTTGGTTGGGTGAACGTGTATGCAAAAGCTGCTTCCCATATTCAAACTGCAACCCCTAGGCTGATTTTTTTTTTTTAAGTGCCACGAACATTTCTAAACCAAAACGCGTCAGTCATTAAGTTCCCGGCTTCCAGAGCACTCCCAAACATCAAAGTTCCCCGCTAACCGGAAGGCCCGACCATCGGCGCTTTGGTCTACTGTTGCACAACTTCACACCCCGAGTTCAGTGTGTCAAGCACCTGTACCCATCCCAGCGCTGCCAGGAACGCTTCGGGATACCCACATGGTGAGCTTTCCCCCACGCTGTTCCTCCCTCCAGGTAAACACTAATTCCGAGCCGTCAACGCTCCCCTCTGGCATAGGCAATCAGCCTACACTCACGCCCTGGCTCTGAAGCCCGGGTCCGCGCCAGCCCTAGAGAACTTCAGTGAGTGCCCCAGATGTGTCGTGTAGGTACCGTCAGAGCTCTTCCCGGGCTGCACACGGCCAGCCTACCTCCACCGTCCGTCCTAAGGTCCCCTGCTGCCCTCACTCACTCCCCTGAGCTGCTTTTACTCCCCCATCGTGCCCGGAGTCCCCGTCCATTTCTGCCCGTCTCCCTCGACGACCCTCGACCACCATCCCCAAACCACCGTGTGTTGCGCGGGTGCCCCTCATGCATATTCCAGTCCCCAGCGCCGCACACGGCTGGAGCTTTCCAGAACGACTCGGGAGAGACGAGGGGATGAGCGTCCATGCAGACTTGGTCCCCTCTCTCCGCGGAGGGCCGACGGGGCAGCAGCGCTCTGGCCGGAGCCCTCGCGCGCGCGTGCCGCTCGGCCCTCCGGCTTCCCTCCCCGGTGGCGGGAGCTCGACGCGCCTGGGTCCCAGCTCCCGGGACACCCCGAGACCACCCCAGCACCACCACCGCGGACGCCCACCCGCCAGCCCGGCCCCGGCGCGCCCGCCGCTCGGCTGCCTCACCTAGCTTGGCCCGGGACTCCTCCAGCTTCTGGATCTGGTTCTCCAAGAAGAGCATCGCCACCGCGAAGGCCACCACCGCCAGCAGCTGCAACTTGGGCGGCATCATAATCCTGAGGAGCCCCATGAAACCCGCCGCTCGAGATCAAGACATACCGCGGGGGGCGGGGAGCGGGGCCCCGCGGGCGACCGAGGCGCCGGGAGGAGACCCCCCGACCCGGGAGCTGCGCGGACTGCCGCGCCGCAGCGACCCCCTCCTCCGCTCCGGTCTCCCGCCCGCGGGAGCCAGCGCCGGCCGCCCGGTGCACGCTTCTCCTCTGCCCACCGACGGCCCTGGCGCCCTCCGGCCGCTGCCGCTGCCGCCTGGCTTCGGGACCCCGCGGCCGCACGCCCTCTTCGCTCGGTTCTTCCCTTCCCTCCCTCGCTCGCCCGCTCGCGGCCGCGCGCCCCTCTAGCAGCAGCGCTGCGGCTGCGGCTGCGCCGCCCTCGCCCCGCCCCCTCCCCTCCCCCTAGGCCACCACGCGCACGCCTTGACGCACGCTGCCGGGCAACCAGAAGCTCCACCCCCCGTCCTCCCCTACAGCGGCGTTCATTGGTCCGAAGAGCGGCCGCTTAGCGCCCTTTGGGTTCGATTTACGGTTGGGTTCCTTGACACGGGCCTCAAGCAAGGCGGGATTTGATTGGGTAAATCCGGAAAGGGAGGCGGGGCTGCTAGTGGAGGCGCTGGGGGGCTTCGTAGAGCGCCGACATAGTGTCGTGAATGAGGAGCGCAGGTGTGGGGAGTTTAAGAAAATGCCTGATCCGATTCTCCGAAAGAACCCGACGACTTTTTAATAGTCGATGGCTTTTACGCTCCTATGGTCGCCCGACTGATACTCGCCTCTGTGGGAGCGCAGGCTTGAAGCGGTGGCCTTTGGAGGCGGGTTTCGCATCAGGCATTGCAGTGGACGTCCCCGGGACTGGGGTCCTCAAGCGCCTGAAGATTGACGGGGGGGACCGCAGGGATGGCGGCCGGGCAGGGTGGGTGGCTGCGGCCCGCTCTGGGGCTGCGCTTGCTGCTGGCGACTGCGTTTCAAGCGGTGAGTGCGGATCGCCTCCGTGGCTGCCTCGGGGCCGGTCGGAGGGCTCGGATGAGGGTCAGACGCGCGGCCACGCAGGGGACCGCCCTTGGAACAGGCTTCCTTAGTGGCCGCTTCCATCCGGAATGAAACGTGGCAGACAGAATTCCAGCCGGGCTCTGGGGGCGATGGTCTTCTCACTTCAGACAGCTAAAAATCGGTCTTTCAAGACGCAGTGGGTACAGAAAGTCAGTAATGCTTAGACAGGAGGGAAGTTTCTTTTCTTGGGACAAAAGTGAAGGAAACTACCATTGCTTACGGCAGCACCCTCGAATCTTAAAGGGACAGACAAAATGAATCTCTTAAGAGAGAAAACCTAATTTTGACTTACTTAGCCACTTACGAAACAACTACATTGTAAACTCCTTGATGGAGGTTTGCAATCCATATTTACATGTCTTCTGCTTGGGATATTTAAGTGATCTGTTTATGATCTGGAAAGTTAAGATTATACTATAGGTCTGTAAATACTTAGACTTTTTCATACAAAAAGAAGGTAGCTTGCAAACATTGTCTCTGCTTTTGTTACTTTGTCCAAAGGGTAGACTCTTGACTTCTCACATTGCAATACAATGTTGTTACTCAGACACCTGGTACTTAAGGAATTACTTAAGACCTAGGTCTTACACCCTTCTACACTTTGTAGACTCTAGAGATTAATGGTTTGTTTCCCTCCCATCATAGGTCATTTTAATTTCTTAGGACTACCACAAGTTACAAAGAAGCTATGTTTCATACTACCTTCTAAATTTCAATAGACAATGGCTTTGTAAGTACAACACCCTCCCCCCCCCAAAAAAAATCAATGTTTTAAACAATTTAACCGTCCTTTAGATTGGCGAAGCAGCTCCCTCTTGAATGCACTGATGTGAGCTATTCAGTCGATTGAAAATCTAAAGATACCGTAATTCAAAATCAGTGTCGTTAGCTGGGACCACTTAGTTATTCTGCTTCTAACCTCTCCTCTCCCACTAGATTAGACTTATTATTCACAACAGTCTCAGGGCAACACCCCGGAAGAGCAGAAGCTTGCAGTGCCTCTTAAGACCTTGCCATGGAAATCACGTAGCCCTCCTGAGAGGCAAAGACTAAAAGTAGAAAGCAAGATCCGCCCACAACAGATCCAAACTCCATTACATTATACTTGTCAAAGAACGTCTCATGAGAAAGGCACGGGAAAACAGCCATAGCCGTATGAGAGAAGTGACAGAGTTGTGTTGCAAAGGAGTGTTCATACCAGGACAGAATAGGAAGAGTCTATGTCTACATGCGAGCCACAGTGGCCAGCAAATCTAGTATAAAACTCAGATGTCGTTTCTGACTCCTTCCTTACTTCATGCACCTCACATACTGGTAATCGCCAAACCTTACTAATTTGTACTTCCTAAATATGCCTGAAAATCAGTTGTCACTTTTTCAGTTACCCCCAAGACCTTTCTCTTAAGAAATAATAACCTAGTTTTCATTTGAACTGCCTATTTCTGTATTGAGAGTTTAAGTAAAAATCATCTTTGCCAGTTTCCTAATTACCCTAACCAAAAACTGTGTTCCTTTAAATTCTCTGTATTTTCACTCTTTGGTTCGAATTAGTCATTAAGACCATAAAATTTCCATGCCAGTCACTTAATTTTGTTGCCGCAGGTAAACCAGGCCAGTATATCCATGTACCTGAAATTACCATAAGAGCTTCATTAACTGGTTTCCACATCTAATTGCTTTCTAATTCCATCCAGCACATCTACAGCTGTGGTTCTTAATCTTCTTAATGCTGCAGCCCTTTAATACAGTTCCTCATGTTTTGGTGACCCCTGGCCATAAAATCATTTTTGTTGCTAATTCATAATTATAATTGTACTACTGTTATGAACTGTAATGTAAATATTTTACAGGGGTCACTCGGCCTCAAAAGGGTTGTGACCCATAGGTTGAGAACCGATGATCTAGAGTAACATTTCCAAAATTAAACCTGTTGTACTTACAACTCCCACTTGCTTCTAAGATAGTTTGTCTTTAAGTGTTCCTTCACGAGTCAGTCGGTTATTTACCAGGCTTATTTCCCAGCATTTGCTTTTTTCCCCCTGGTGAGGAAAAGGATGTGAAGAGCTGGGAGGGATACTTACTCCAGCAAAGTTCATGTAGTTGTTTCTCCTTCATAAGCTCTCTCCCCTGTGCCCGAAAAATATGACTGTCTTCTGCTTAGCATCTAACCCTCCTGTCGTGTGGGTCAAAGGTTTGATTTAGGAATCAAACTCGGACCCTTAGGCTTGGCGGCAAGCACCTTTACCCACTGAGCCATCCTGTCACCCTTCAGTTTTCAGCCAAGAAATCACTGCCTCCAGGAAATCAATCTCTCTGCACCCAGGCTTGGCTGGGCGCCATTCTGTGTCAGTGGCAATTACTCCTTAACCTCTTAGGTGCCTGCCAGTCTTTGTAGTTTCTTATATTTGTCATTTTCCCACCGAGCTGGCTGGATCTCGTCTTAAAGAAGGATGGGTTCCTGGTTATCTGTTGTCTCTACTGGCATCCACAGAGAGGGAGGCCATACCTTGAGATCTAAGTACCGTATTTCGTGAGTGGACAGGGGATCTACAGGCTAAGGTCTGATAGCATGGACAGATCTTGAAGGCTACTATCCACCTTCTATTCCAGTTAGCGTCCTATGGCTCTTGTCACCAGCAGTCCCAACTGAAGTGTCGTTGCCAACTGATGGTGCAGATGCAAGTGTTATGTTAAAATCTAGAAGAAAGAAAGCGATGTAAAAAACTGGGTTAGATTCTACCTTAGGTCACACTCAAAAACTTTCCTGGTAATTTGCGTGATTCTTGATACCTTTTAATGATAGATATCAAGTTCATTCTCTTCTGTGAATGAGAACCACAAGTAAGTTTACACTATCTTACATTGATAATCTTTAAATAAGTCCATGGGTCATTAGTTACAACTATATCATTCCATTTAGGTTTTCTCCAAGCCATCTTTTATAATCAAAATCAGTATCTTCCCTCCTCACCCATGATAGTATGTTATTTAGTTTAAAAATAACTTTAGGAAGCCTTTTCTGGGAGCTGGAGAGATGGCTCAGTGGTTAAGAGCACTGGCTACTCTTCCAGAGGTCTTGAGTTCAATTCTGAGCAACCACATGGTGGCTCAGTGGCTCACAGCTAAGTATAGTGGAATCTAATCCCCTCTTCTGGCATAAAGTCATATGTGCAGACAGATGACTCATATACAATAAATAAATAAGAATGCTAGGTAAGTATGTTTTCCAATTTTAACTTTTAATAACTGTAATCTAAAGATCAATTCACTCTCATTCTTAATTTTCTTCTGTTGTTCTTTATGACGTGATTAGCTAGAATGCAATGCTTACCTTCATCTACTCTCCAGACTTAGGAAGTCAGAGCCAGACGTGCTGGTACCTCCTGTAGTCTGAGCTCCTGCTTGTAATCACAGCATTCAGGAGGCTGAAATGAGAAGATTGGACATTTGCAACTAGCCTGGGCTACATATAGCAAGTTCCAGTCCAGCCTAGGCTACATAGAAAAACTGTCTCAAAAGAAGAACCAAAAGGCAAAGTTACAGAATCATAAGTAATTTCTCCCTCTCATAGTCTCTCATATTAGCTTATACACCATGCGATCCTTATCCTGTGGCCCTAACAGATCATAGCCGGTGTGTCTCTCCGTCCATTTCTCCTGCCAGAGTAGTCGCCAAAGGGAACGGGGACCATTTGCCTTTTAGTTTTCACTGTGTCTTATGTTTGCTCACTTCCGGCCTCAGAGGTGCAAATGGTCTCCCAGTTCCTCCCTGCGTCTTCCCATTGATGTTAATGTGACTGCAGTTTCTGCAGGAGGGGATGAACCATACTCAGTGCCCAAAGGAAAAAAGATGCCTGCCCAGAATCCTGGTTAAGACAGACAGATCACCCTCGCCAAACTCAGATGCCATGACTCCCTGTAGTGATACTTGCTTTCTTCCATAATGACTAGTGTTTATAAGAAACAAAAACCTTGGCAATGAAAAGGGTGTATAGGATTATGGGAATACAGAAAGAAGTTAGATAAATTCTTAGATTTTGCAAAAGAGGAAAAGACCAAGTTAAGTGGGCATTTACCAATGTGAGAATCAAAGGCAGAAACCATAAACATGAACTTATTGACTCCTTGAAGTAGAGACTTAGCTCTTACTTGAACTTACACCTGAGGCTTTGCGTAGACCATTTTGAGAATTGTTTAGTGTCTGCACCTCTAAGGAGCTGTCATTTTAAGTTAGTGTCTGTGCGTACTCGACACAGCTGGGCTCACAGCAGATGACTAAACCTGTAAATATACTCT